AACTTACGTCAATATTTCGGTCTTATGAGGAGCCATCACTTGGTAACTTCATATCATCTATCGACAGACATTATTTTCTCTATTTCTAACTAGTGCTAATTCATTTATAGAATCCTACTTCATAAATAGACACTAGGTTTTGTTTCAACTCTGTTTCTTATACAATTATATCACTGTTCATATTTGTAACTCGTCGATTAACTGAGTCAATTGAAAATGTTGCTAACAATATTGATATCAAAATTCCAACTGAATAAATTACGTAAGACAACCGTTAGTCAATTTCATGACTTTATAAATATTTTAAAATTTAAATGATTTTCTTTTTACAAAATATCCAACCAAAATAATATAGCTGAAAATTAAGGATGAATTCACAGGTCACAACAACTAATAATTATTCATTTCTCCCTATAGAATTAGTTATTATTAGAATTGTATAAAAATTCTAAATAGAATTCCTTTTATTTATCACTATTGAACCGGATAATAATAATCTTAAGTTATTTACGAACTTTCGTTGGTATATGCGATTAATTCTCAGGAGGCTGGATGAACATGTGACAGATCTGTTGTCAGATAATGAAGATGACGGAAATATAAACGCTATGATTGTGTGTACTACTTATGTTGACAGAAACAAGTGGTATGTAACAACAATCAATAGTGGAATTCCTGGCAGCAAAAAGTTGAGAAGATCAAATTGAAGAGAACGGGGATGTAAACGGAGAGTAATTGTAATAAGAATGAAGGAACAATTGAGTTTGAGACAATTGATGTAAGATTTGCAAATGAAGTATTTAATGTATTGTTTTTCACGTCTTACGAAAGAACTCTGTGATTTCGCTCTGAATAAATAAAGTGTTTATCTCCACCTGAGTTCTCGTTCACTACATGACTACTGTGTTTTCTGTTGAACTGATGTAATGTCTCACAAAATATAGCTTTTAACTAAAGTTTAAGTAAGTATTTCTACTGAGTTTAGATAAAGTCGTCAAACTTTGTCTCCCAATCATTGGCGTTGATCCTATTCGGTCAAATAGAATCTGCCTGTTTGCGTATGATGATGAATTTACTTGAAGTCTCATTGTGCCTGATGGGTTAGTGTCTAACAAAATTTCCGTCGTCGATCCAAAAGCTCTCTTGGATTCCGCCAACTACAGCCATTTTTGGCATTGATTAAGTGGCCAAGAATCAGACTACATTTAAATCTGACCTTACTGGAAAGTGTGTGGTCTATAAATCCATATTCTCTAATTGTTTTTGACGTATTCAGCTGTTGTTTTGCAAATGCATTCATTATTAGTCGTATTCTAATGACTAATGTGAATTCGTACTTTTATTCCAAATTCCGCTTATTTTTTGGAAGAATATTTTCTTTTTTTTCGATGTACTAAATAAATAATATTTTTGCAGTACTGTGGTGTGTGGGAGTGTATACTTCTATTAGACCCTACATCGCCTTGATACATCGGTTCAGGGCCTATGCAATGAATGTAATGAATTCAACTACGTAATTATATTGTGTGAAAATCAGTTTGGTGATCGATGCATTACAGTCAAGGAAATGAACGTTTATTCATATTTATCAGTTTGAATATAATTAAGAGTGAATATTCAGTTGTAATTTGTGTATGGATTACACAGTTATTCAGATAACCAATGAATCAATAAGACCAAATAATTTCAACTATCATTCATTTGTTCTCCTTTATATTAGTGTTATTGTTTTGCCTGAACTCCGCTTGGAGTCCCTCCGGGGGCTACTGCTAGTCCCAAGCCCGGATAAAGGAGGAGGGTTGGGCATGGGGTTGGCGACCCCATCCCGTAGAAAACTAGCTAAAAAAACGCTAACCAGAAAAAATTATTCAAACCATTTAAACTCTGCCCTGGGAGTCGGAAGGTCTTCGTTTAGAAGAATTATGACGCCTCATGATGAAAGCCGAGCTCCTTCGGAAGTCACGAGGCCGATGCCCCTTTTGACAACCAGAGCAACCATTTATTTAGGTACATGGAATGCTCGTACAATGTGGGAGACTGGGAGAGTTTTCCAAATTGCTGCAGAAATGAGGAGATACAGTTTAAAGGTGCTTGGGATCAGTGAAACACATTGGACGCAAGTTGGACAACAACGACTAGCTTCAGGGGAGCTGCTGTTATACTCCGGACATGAAGAAGAAAACGCTCCACATACACAAGGAGTTGCATTAATGCTGTCCAAAGAAGCACAAAATGCACTTATAGGATGGGAATCTCATGGACCGAGGATCATCAGAGCCTCCTTCAAAACAACAAAAATGGGCATTTCAATGAACGTTATTCAATGCTACGCGCCTAGCAACGACTACAATGAAGACGCCAAAGATCAATTCTACGATAGGCTTCAGTCATTCTTCGAGAAGTGCCCAACAAAGGACCTGACTATTCTGATGAGAGATTTAAATGCCAAGGTTGGAATGGACAAACCGGATATGAAGAGATCATGGGACGACACGGACTGGGAGATAGGAACGAAAATGGTGAGAGATTTGCAAACCTATGTGCTTTCAACAAATTGGTCACAGGCGGCACTATATTCCAACATAAACACATACACTAAACCACATAGACTTCACCGGATGACACTACGCAAAACCAAATCGACCATATCTGCATTAACAAAAGGTTCAGGAGGACGATAGAGGATGCAAGAACCAAGAGAGGAGCTGATATAATATCAGATCATCATCTGCTGGTCGCCAATATGAAATTGAAACTCAAGAAGCATTGGACAACGAGACAGTCGAAGATATGTGGCTTCTCCATTTACGTAAACGGTTTTGAATTTATCAACCGCTGTGTGGAAATTCATCTTGAATAAACAAATAATTCAATAGAAAGGTTCGTAATCACTGTTTTTTGATGTACTGCATTTGTATACTTTTAGTGACTTGGCTTCGAGATAATTACTTAGGCTTCGTATATCAATCACCCTGATAACCGTTATTAAGCGACTAGGGTAGAGTGAGGATTGTGAGCATAGGCTTTCGCGCGTGATTAAGCATTCATGTTCATACAGACATGATAGTGATAATAATAATACAAAGTTATAGACAATTTGTTACTGTTCGAATTGAAGGATTTTACGAAGTTAACCGTAAACAAACTTAATTGTAGGAGAGGTGCTTTATACTTATACCACCAAATAAGTCATTCAGTTAAAAGGAAAGTAGACCCTGACATATACTTCGGTTAAGCTCACCACGTATCAGCGCAGAAAAATGAAATCATCAAGACAAATACCGGAGTGGTAGAAGCAGTAACAGATTCAGTGTAACAGGAAAGATTAGGTATACACGATATGATTAGAGAATAAAGGGAAAATTTGTTTGTCGAATGGTATGTGGATTTCAAGACAGAGTGAACACATCCGTTCTACAACCATCGATTCTAACCTACGTCTACGATCACTGGTTATGATAGTCATGTGGACCTTAACCGGGTGATCTGAATCTACCTTCACAGCTCAGTCCAACAGGCATGGATTGTTCCCACGATTTGTTTTGGGCTGATCAAATCAGTAATGAAGTATTATACCTAAGAAATACTTGTAACATTCATTTTTAATTTCAACTTCTCATTGGTTTTCTTATAAAAGAGCTTTAGTCAAGATGTGTTTTGTTGCTGCGAAGTAACTTTATCTTCTCTCAAATAACTTAATGAAATAATTTTTAAAACTTAAAAATGCATTAAATCGGCATTTCACCCACAATACAATTAATTCTAACTATTAATATGGGGAATTTTCTAGAAAATTAGCATTGGCTGATTTCCTAACGAAAACTATGAGATGAAAGCACTATTTAATAGATAGCTGTATGTAGTAAAATATCTAAAGAATCTACAAGACGTACTCCACTACGATGTTTCTGTGCAAATCGGCTAACAGTGGGGAATCATAAAGCTTTCCAATTCTTAAGGTAGAGTTCAAATATTTAATCACCTAATAAAATTACATTTGACTTGTAATCAGATACGTTTCAGACTAAGCGTCTCTTAAAAAAACGGTCATCTTACAAATAACGTAATCTTAAGAAGCTTTTCTAAGCAGCTGGTAAACAGAAATTCGGATTGAAAATCTATAAAAGTAAATCTAGTAAACATAATAGAAAACTGGCTGAACCTATCTGATATAAAAGTTTCGTAGTACGAATATAATGTCACTTCCATGAAAAGTATATCGTTTTTCTTCAATAATTGTAAAAGTATGCTTAGTAAACAAGGTGATCTCGGTTACTGCTGAGGGTGTAGGGGGGTTTGTAACTTCTTAGTTGTCTACATAGAAAACTATGTTTCTTGAGAAATCTGAAAAGGAAACTGGATTAATAGTAGTTGTCTTAATGAAGTGAGAGCGTGACCACAGAGCAAAAGGGACAGTTGCTTGAGACCGGTAATTCTCCATGTGCTAGCCATGTTCGTTAAAGGTCCTAATGCCGGAATTGCTGGTCAAGTTGAATCGTGGTAATTTTAAAATCAACCTATTATAACAATCTGTTTCCGTTGTGAGAAGGTAGCATTACTGAAGACGCTGGTTGTCTAAAGTAAACGCCTTAATGCCTTCACAATCCAGTGTTGTCAGTACTACAACTTAACCTTCACATCTTAATCTGTTGTTCATAGTTCTACTGTACCCCGACGAACTTGCTTGGCACTGTTAGACTTAAAGGAACTAATGTTCCGGACAATTTAGGTCGGTTGGGTTATCATGATGGGTTAAGGTAACAACTACTGCCGGGGGAGGTGTACTCAATATTTGTTGATAAATCTTCCAATTATAGACGCGTTTATGATTTTTATATGTACTGCTGTTAGTCCTTAGTAGTATAAAGCATAATTATTTATTGTAGTGGACATTGACCAGTAATAAATCACTTGGTACCACAGTAGCCGTTAAATATATTTTACTCAAGATAAAGAAACAAATACATTCATATACACACAGACATGTATAAAAAATAACTGAGGATATTATAACATTGCACCATCATTATTAGTTCTTAATCTATTCTCAGATTTCAAACGATTGCTATCATTATTGTGTTCAATAGCTGTTCCAGACGATTTCATTGTTACATAAGTGTAATAATGTTGATTAGAATTATTATTATTTGTCACTAAATAATTATTGGGACTTTTGAATCCGATAGATGATTGAAATCGTTGTTGAAATAATCTAGATGATTGTGTTGGTGTAAAACAAGAGGCTGAAGTCAATTGAGTAGTAATAGTATTTGTTGTTGTAGAAGCAAACATGTTCGTTGTTACTGCTACTGATGTTGTTGTATTCGATGTTTGTAATGGTGAAAAACATGATGTTGATGCTAATGATGAGATTATAGTTGAATTATGTGTGGATATGTTTTTATGTGGTAAATTCTCACTTATCACACTGACTGCAATTAATGGATTTACTTTCATATGCCTAGATTTTATATAATTATCAGTGCTATTTATATGCTTATCAGTAGTATAATATAAGTGTACATTATTTGTAGTTCTTGTTGATGATTGCTGATTCGGTGTTACAATATAATCATTCGACATAATTTCATTTGATGTTTCGTTTGATTGATCATCATCATTATAATAATGATAAAAGCAGCCATGTATTGTTGTATTACGTTTTTCTAATAAATTTTGCAGAATCCTCACTGTATTATTATTATTATTATTACTATTATTATTATTATTATTATTATTATTATTATTATTAGCGATAGTATTCAGAATATTACTATGGTTCTGTGAATTCATAAAATCCCCTTTATAATTTTTATCATTAGCATATTCGTTCCTACCACTTATAGTTTTTTGAAGACGTTGCTGACTACATTCACAGTAATTCTGATGATAGTAATGTTCATTACAGTTGGAATGAAACATTTCAATTTGATCACTAGACAGATCAATGTAACGATTATATCGATTATGAAAAGTAGACGAAGAGAATGAAGAAGCTGATGAGGAACGATAATAGTTCGGTTGATGTCGATGATGATGATGTAACAGACGTTTCATTTTATTATATACTGTGTATTGTTTTAAATAATTTTTGTTACCTATTAAGTAACCACATATCATACTTAGTGATATACATATAATAAGAATAGATAATATAAGAATACCATTGAATATATGATTATATAATGATTTATAATTAAATTCAGTTTCGTTATGATTACTATGATTTCGATTATTGGCATTAATATGTTTATTATAATTTATTGTTTTTGTATTAATCATTGACGGTGTTGATTCACGAATAATCACTAAGTTTAATTCATCATTGGGGAATTTCACATTTGTAATTTGCCTTTTTGATATAATATTATTAGCATTAGATTCATCTAAAGAGAAATTATAATCATATTGTTTAACTGAACTTGATTAAAAGATGTACTTGTTATACAAAATAAGAGGATGGATGGTAATTCACTACATAAATGATTATTTTCTCACTATCATATATGTTTTTATTTGGTTACTGGTGAATGATTTCAATGGTTAATTAATCAAACTATACAGAAATTAATACTTTTGTTATGACTTTATGTCCGGCTAGTTATCACGTGATTTATCCACGCATCAAAATAGGACTTACACAATCTTAGCATTGTGCCAAACCAATGACGTTCAACCGGTATGAGCAGCTTAGCGTCCTCATCGGTCCTATGTCCACGTAGACCGTCCACTCGAGTCCAGAACACCAATACCATCTCCCACTATGCGAATCGAATCATTTATTTCAGAAATACTGGGTTTATATACGAATTAAACAGACCGCAACGCACCATAAAATAGGAAATAACATTTGTACACAATAAAGCTGAAAAGTGGCTGTGTACTTGGGAGGCAGTAGTTAATAAACTGAACATAGCTTACGAACAGTAAATCGTACAATAATAAATTATAAGTCAAAGTGAAGCTTATAACAAGGGGAAAATAGATATACATGATCTAGTTACTGAATATTTATACCATAAGAATTTGTAAATAATATTTGTCCATTAATAGGTCTCAGACGTTACTCATAATGTAATCTTCACTAGGATACAACAACTTTATATTAAGCTATTTAGTTGAATGACCATATTCAAATAAATCACTTATTATATCTCAGTCACATTTAGATATTAATTAATATATGAATTCTTTAATTTGTTCGATGAATCTCTCTGGAACTGAATGAACATGCAACTTTAAGACGATAAAAAATTAATTAGTGAGTAAATGGACGGTTTTTTACATTTTCAAACTTAATGCGTTGCGCAATTTTATGCTTTATAAAGTATAGACAAAAATTATTCATCACATTAAGAGTCAGTCTGTACATCCACTAGACTTTTAAGTACGAATTATATTTCAATTTATGGTAATGTTTAAGTTAAAATTATTTTAGTAATTAATCCAGCCTAAAATTTATGAAATGGTTGTCTTATTTTGATGTGCAACACACACCATACCCATTAAATATCCTCTTCAAAAGTGAATTTGAGATATAATAGTTGAATTCATGAGTCAGTTGAACCTAGACCATCATCGAAAACCTGAAAGCACTGGATGGCCGTTTCGTTCTAGTATGTGATTCAATTGACTCATGAATTCAACTATTGAAGAACTAAAATCTCCACAAAGCCCTCTTCTGATAATTTGAAATATGTTAGAGTTTATATATATTTAGTTGGAAACATATTTTCACCTTCACTTAGTTGATATTTCTAGATTCATCTATATCCTGAAGGTTTAACAATGTAAATGAAATACAGACAAATGTACTAACCTATAAATTGCTACAGAATTTCTGTAGTGTCTTATATATTGTATTGTAGACATTTCATTGTCAAATAATTGTATTCTTAAGCTGTTGCAAGATGAATCTAAACATTTACGAAAGCTTTCTAACTGATAGGAAATATTCAAGCATAATGTAGTCACCTTTAAAAATTCTGTACAATGATCGATGCTTGTTTATTTAAATAACCCATTGCCTAAAATATTGATGAGTAATTATGTTATCGTACAAAATCTATATATTACATAATTGGTAGGATGACTAAAACAATATGTATAAATTGCTTTTCTACATGGGAGATAGGAAGAACGGCAACAAAGTGATTATATGAAATAAATATAACTAGACTAAAATATTATTTCACTTTTTCAAGTAAGATAATGATTGAGTAATTATGAATTGAACGATTAGAAATTAAAACCAAGAAAAGCAATAAATATATCTGTTGTCGTTTAAAACTTAAGATGTTTTTGTTTTAAAGTGATATCGATGATTTTTTTTGATGACAATCTTTCAATTATAACGGTCGAATGAAGTTCGTTTAAGAGTCCTAGTCAACTTAAGGATAAACAACTACAAAGGTCAATAATCATGTCAAAGTGAGAAAACAATCGAAGTGCAAACAATGACTGTGTCGTTATGGACTATAACCAACTAAATCTCAAGTCTAAAAAATAAACGTTTGTCTTCATGATTGAGTTCTATATGACAAGTTTTGAGCCATATTTAGAGAAATCCGAATACTTCAGTTCAGAATAACGATGAAAGCTCCACGACCAAACTAACCAGTTCAGAGAATAAAACTCTACCAAAAACCTTTTGTCATTTGTAAATAAATTCAAATAGCTCACTTTCCTTTAGAAATATCTGTTGATAATTTTATCAAGAAAGAAAATGAGAGCTTCTTTATTAAACAATCTATTTCAGTGAGCAAAATACCTCTGAAATCCTCATACTGAATTACAAACATTCTCCATCATTTCAATAAGACTAACAACAACAGTTATTATTATTTGAATTTTCTTATATGAAAAAAATTGATATTACTTTACTTCGTAAAAGATAAACTTACTTGAAAAACTACGGAGTAGATGATATCGTTTCGGTTGGTTAATGTAAACTTCATCATCATGATTATCATCATTACAAAAACGATATAAATTGGAATCCATTGATTTAAGTTGAGAATACGAAGAACTGAAATGAAGTATGCACATACAAAAGTGTTAGATTTTATCTATTTTCACTAATCAATGAATTCGCACGTTTGTAAAGTACACATTGTTTGTCTAATAATGAACGGATTGATGAGAACATTAAATAAGTTATTTTTTCTATGTCCACTGAATTTACTTGTCATAATTCTGAAATTCAATAAAATCAGCTTTCAAATGTGTTTCCCTAAACAATACCCAAAATTTATTATAATCTAAGGAAAGGATTGGAAAGAGAATAATCGGAGAACGTACAGAGCGGCTTATACAAAAAAAGAGACAAAAACAATGAAAAATAGCTAATCAACATATCTGAGTTATTTCACTCATGGTCCGTAGTCATCGACTCAATTGTAATGCTTAGAAAAGCAATGAAGAAGATACTTGTGGAACTTGTAAAATATTTAACACTTATAAACGGTACTAACAGGGATCTTTATTTGGAGTTGTAAAGAACGATGTACGGTCTAAAATCTAAGAGAACCTGTCCTAATGATTCACAATGTGTGCATATCTTTTATTTATAGTTATCATATTTTGAGATTCATTATATGTTGGATTAAGTTGCTTTTTAAATAAATTACTATTCAAACAAACCAAGGCGTATTTCAGTCGCATTACAAAACTAATATTCCAAATATTGATAATCACAGAGAAATCGAGACTAACTTGATTTGTTAACACTTTAGTGTTAGTATTGCACCGATAATCGAGTCCACTGATTTTTTCTTTGAACAATAAATATCTAATGACAGGACCATCCAAAATCTTACATATGAGCTGTTTAGTTCAAATAGATACTGGCTTATGCAACAGGGGTAAACCTTATTACAATTCTAAAAGTTTAACTTTGCCTGTCGTTAGGGATTGGGCGTTTTAAGCAAAAGGTAATGAGTTTTAGTCATGATATGAGCATAAGCACAGATGCACGTACATCCATTTAGTTTGTTTCTCAAGGAATTTAATGCCTAGTGTTTACAGCGTTACTCTGACGAACTTTTTTGAAAGAAATCATACTATGAATTAAATAATATCTCTAATACCGTTAACTCAAACTTTATATCCCATTCGCATCTTGTATTTTTCATATATGATAGCTGTATGTGTTATTTGTATTACGTTTGACGAAATTGTTTGTCACTTGTTAGGAAACAGTATTACATTTTATGGATTGATTGCGGTTGCATAACTAAACATCTTGTGACATGGTATCGTCTTAAATCTTGAAGCAAATAATATGTGGATTATTCACTCCATATTTTAGATTATATTTATTAAAAGGATATTAGCTGAGACCATAGGGTCGCATCAGTAATATGATATACCATCACAGTTACCAGAGAATTTGTTACAATCATTATTATTATTATTACAGTGCTTTTTATTACCAAATGAGGTCGGTTGAAGTACCAGATAATTGGACAGAAAATCCAAATCATTTTATTTCGTCAAAGCGATCAAGAACTGAAAGTCTTCTAGGTTTCAATATCATGTATGCTGCTGTTATGATCAACTACTGATGAGTTACAGATTATAAAGAAAAGATTTATTTTTAGTTCACCTGATAAAGTAAAAATTAACTGGCAAATTATTATCTAAGTCACCCTTCCATATAACTAATTTACTTTTTTTCACCTGGAAAATAATAAGAAACATTATTTTAAATAAATGTTCACTAGAGGACAGCAATACTTAGATGACAAACTTACTCATTTAACAAACAACTATGATTGTTATCATTCCATTTGCAATAATGTTTATTAGTTAACTGACAATTTCTGAATAAATAGAAAATATAATAGTTATAATGGTAATAATAATAAATTCGATAATGCATTGAGAAGACGAATTTTATCAGAATTATTTGATATATTTGCGCAATACATTTCGAACAATATGATCAATTTACTTGTATGCGCGGAAACACGTACATAGGGAGGAGCAATGTTGATTTGCAATTAAGGGTGGGTGAACACATACCAAAATTGCTACAGAAACAAATGGATTTCAATGGTCAAATAAGATCACAGGATAGACAGACATCATCCTCCATTGCAAAACATTTGATTGAGACTATTCATAAGGTTGATATCAAGTCAGCATTTGTAGTGTTATACAAAAGCCTTCAATGAAGTATACTAAGGTTTATTGAAGCCTTGGCTATACGGAAATTGAAACCCCTTTTATGCATTCAAAAACAATTTCTCCTTACACTTAACCTACTGTGGTAATACTAAGTAATTATTCAAAGTGGTTATCACATTTGCTTTTGTGTACTTTAATATTATTACTTTCTTCGTTATGTCATACCTTTACCCTGTCCAGTTGACCTTTTAATTTTCATATAAAAATGCCTTAACACGTATATGTGATCATATTATTCGAAATGTATTGTCCAAATATATTACATAATTCCGATAAACTTCGTCTTCTGATTGCATTATCGAAATTTATCAAAGGGACTAATTGTTTTAAATAATAATAATAATAATAGTAATAATGAAACATGTATCGATTAAGAAGAAATCTTTCTTTGCCCCCTTTTATTTACTTATTACGTCATTCTATGTTTCAACTCTTTCTGAATTTTAAAATCACATCATTCATAACTGACCGATTTCAATTCATATCTCTCTTTATTACCATTAATCTATTTTCAGTTACTTCATTACATCATCATCTAATGTGTTTTTTAATTCCATGAGTCCTAATCACTATTTGAATGTTCTGGAACTTTCCCTCCCAAACTATATTTATTGAAAACAAAATTTTCATAACCTCATTAACTTTATCGGAATCTTCGCTACATCATGACATACATACATTCATCTTTCATCACCCTCTTATTCATAAGTATGTCAATATCCGTAATAACGTTGAATTTCAAATGTTTTAGGTTGTAAGCAGCTGATGAGAACTTAACAAAATAAAAGGAATTCATATTATTCTGCACCAATCTTTGTTCTTGCTCTATTTAGAAATTCATTCAATGTCCAAAAAGGTTTTCGTTTCACTTTTGGTAATCTATGCAAAATGTTAAATATTAATTTATTGTGAAACTGATGAAAACATTGTAATTTCTATTGTAGAAATGAAAAAAATTATATATATATATATATATATATATATATATATATATATATATACATGTATATATATTTTGATTAATTAATAATAACGCCTAAATACTTCTATTTTTTTAGAAGCTTTCCCCTTGTATTTAATAGACTTCATATTCTATTGATATTAGATTTATATAATTAAATTTAATATTTTCATCAAATTTCTGTTTTAAACCCTAAATTCCAAAGAGTATTATTGTACAAAAGTTAATTGACTTATTTACTTGCAATCTATCATTATATATTTGTCTAATTCGTATAAAAATTAATCGATTAAACATTTTGAAGTTTATGTTTCAAATCTGAGTGCCTGAAATACCACGAGTCTAGTAAATTGTTGCGAACTACTGAGAAGTCCCATGTTAAGACGAAACGCCTGTTCAGTACTTCCATGTTTTTATTGGTGGTCTAACATTGATATTTCCAGAATTTCAATGCAATATTGGGATTATTAATGTGTTTTGATCATTTTATTGTTCATTATATATCTTATTGATCATGTTACCGAATATGTAATTTTGAGTAGTTGGAGGGAATCAATGGTAACCATTGATAATTACGGAAAAGTAGATTGTTGCAAATTTTCCCCAGTACAATTATATACATTATCACTGAGCTGTTATAAATATAATTGGTTCTTTTTAATGTAACTGGATTGTGTAATCTGATGTGATATGACGACATGAAAAATCAAAATTACATTCTTTTACTTATTTTGATTTTTGTCCAATATTTCTTCCGTTTTAATTCAATACGATGATTATTTAGTGTAGTATTTGTTTTGCTTTCCAGTGTGGTCTTCTATTCAGTATAACATTAACTTATTTGGGTGTGGTGTTTATTCGAGATACGATATTCTTATATTAAACGAATGTATACTATATTCAGCATGACATACGGCATGTAATTGTTACAACTCACAGTATTTTTCATATATGTGATAATGTTCTAATTATTAATATAAATGGGTGCACAATCAATAAATAATGACTGTGTTTTGGACTAGGGTCGTCCTGGTATTCCCGGTTTAATAAATCTTCACATGTACCAGTATTCGTGTTCTGACCTCCCTCTTGGGGATCGCAGTGATTCCTCGTTCTTGTAAGTATACGAATAAGAGGCGCTGATATAACATAAACGTATCACGAGCAACGTAAATTTGATCTAATTGTAAATTGTTTTTGTTACTCAATAAAGTCTAATAGATTAAGGATTTTATTGAATATTAAATTAAAATTCATGTAGCGGTATGGCTGAACTGTGAAATGATTGTACGAATTGTGTTAAATAGATAATACTAAACTAGTAGTCATTGAAATTTATAAATTGATGTTCGCCTGATTCATATTAGTAGATAGAGATTATCTGGTCATAGTTCAAGTAATAGCCATGATTAGTTGTTGATTATATTGGTTAATATAGCTTAAAAGCAATCATAATGGTGCAGGTATATTCACTCTTTATCTTTCTCTTGACCTGGAGTTCCACCATAATAGGCTGTGTCGTTCTCTCGTACTCATTGTTTTTATTTTCTTCTCTACAGTTTTAGACGAACAAAAGTACCTTGTATAAGGACGGGAATAATTCTTCGTTGCACCATTCAAACTTTGACGTCCATGTCCCCCCTAGTAAGGTAATACTAATTCTTCATTGTTGTATGCTGTAACACCTCTATGATTTCAAAGATGATCGCAATGTTATAGTCATGCCACTTTTTAGTGCACTTATCATTGTCTCACACTGACTACAAAAGGAAACGCTATGATTAAAAGAATTACCTATTGCTTTATATAAACGAATAGCGATGCTGCACCTTAAAATTCCCTTACCAATGACTATACATTTCGCTTGCATCATAGGCATCACGTTATTTACATCTTTGTGATGAATGTTCAGTTAAAACTGTTCATTAGTCATATGGGTTCAAATAATGAACCCTTGAGTTTTTAATGTTACATTCCTTTTTATGTTTACCCGATCACGTTTGTGAATTTGTGTACAATCTGTAATTATTTTCATACTATAAATTATATATTATAAGAGAGAAAATGTATATGATGTTTATAATTTTACCACTGTATGCCAGAAAACAACAAATATTATGGCAATAGTTTATAAAAAAATTTATACAAGAAATCTGACGATATTGAATTCAGTAACGGATATTATCGTAAATGATAAAGAATCACAAGACAGAATGAAATTATTGTCCAATAGTTTCTGTTTTACTCAATCTTTCAATTTATACCAGTCTGGAATGAGAACAATTGTCAAATGAAGACTAAGATTATTGATATTATTATGAGCTATTTTATTGCCTAGTGTATAAATTTCAGTCTTATAATACATTGATGAAGTCACAAGCATTATAAGCAAAGATGGGTTGTGGCTGGCAGTGGAATCCAGTATGTGTGTTTCGTCCTATTTGGGACATGTCAGCTTGATGTACCTGCAGCTTAGTGTTGACATTCACTCTGGGACTCGAACCCATTACTGTTCTCTCCAAACACCACCGCATTATCCACTTAGCTACTGAGTCCTGATGCCCACCTGAAAACAATCGGAATATATAAGCAAACAACACCAAGTGAACTTAAACTTCACCCCATCGCACAAGTTAGTGGCTATCAGGGCTCGGTAGCTCAGTAGATAACGCGATGTTGTTTGGAGACAACGGTAATAAGTTCGAGTCCCAGAGTGAATGTCAACACTAAGCTGCAGGTACATCAAGCTGACATGTCCCAAATAGGACGAAACACACATACTGGATTCCACTGCCAGCCACAACCCATCTTTGCTTATAATGCTTGTGACTTCATCAATGTATTATAAGACTGAAATTTATACACTAGGCAATAAAATAGCTCATAATAATATCAATAATCTTAGTCTTCATTTGACAATTGTTCTCATTCCAGACTGGTATAAATTGAAAGATTGAGTAAAACAGAAACTATTGGACAATAATTTCATTCTATTAAATCCAGCTGACGAGTCCCTAATAGAACGAAACATGCGTCCTTGATTCCACTGCTAGCAATAACAAGGCGATCTGCACAGGATGCACACATATACCAATAAGAGACTGATCACTTACAGTCCCAAAACAACAGTAGGAAGATACAAGTAAACAATATCAAGTGGACACTAATAAAGTGTTTTTTTCACTGTATAAAGAAAAAAATATTATTATTCAAACTAAACTTACTTGCATAAGAAATAAGTATCACATATTATTTTATTAGGATAAAAATGAATAATTTTATTTTGTTTTAATATTTTCTCATTTAATTGATTTGTATTTATATAATTTTCAGTTTTTTTAATAGAATGAATAAATTTCATATTTACTGATAACATACTACTTATATTACATTTATATATAGATTGTATTATAGAATTATTATTATTATTATCAATTATTGTAAATTGATCCATTATTTGAAACTTTTTATTTTTATTTGTTTTTATAAAATAATTGGTTGTATTTAATATATTTGAATTTTTTTTAAATTTTAAAATTTGATTATACACAGTTTGTTGTTTTAATTTGATACCAGTTTCAATAGTGAAGATTGTATTTTTATCTAAAATTGTTGAAAATATAGAAAAAATGCATCAAACTAAGAAATTTTGTTAAATTGAATAGATGTTTATTGTTATTTCTCATTTAAAAAGTGATATGAATAACAGAATAAAAATGAATTGAGTGTTGTACTTCTAAACTTATGATCACCTGTGAATAACGGAAAATTACACTGTGATATAATTATAATAGTTGAGATCATGGGTCAATTGAAGCTAGACCACCATGGAAAACCTGAAAGCACTGGACGGCCGTTTCGTTGTATTGTGGGACTCATCACAATAATACCCCTTAGAAAACCACTTCTGATATTAATCATCTACACACTAGTGATGGTCTCTAAGATGTATTTCATGGAGTTCTAGTGAGGAGCTGTGATCAGTGGAGTACAACCAGCTCTGTTGTGAGATATCAGCTCACTGAACACAATGATGACGGTGGCGCAGTTTCGTGGATTGTTTGAAGTTAGGCATTAACACCGTTGGATATCGGCTCAGTGGTCCGATGGTTAAGCGCTCGTGTGCGAGACTGACAAGTCCTTGATTCGAATCTCGCAGGTGGCGGGATCGTGGATGTGCACTGTTGAGGAGTCACATACTAGGACGAGACGGCCGTCCAGTGCTTGCAGGATTTCCATGGTGGTCTAGCTTCAATTGACTCATGATTGTACCCTAACTTATAATTCTAGATGTAAAAATTTGGGCTGAACCCCTTATAGAAGAGGAGAGTCAAACTAAATATTATCTTTTTCCTCAAACTACTTAATAAACTATCCTTTACATCCAATCACGTGATTCAATATGCAGTAATTTCTCATTATGACATACGTAATTCATTGGCACTGGTGAAACAAACTTATTCTAAATCATCTCTTCATATGAATTACTTTGCCTGTAAATTTTCTAGACTCTGGAATAACCTACCACAATCTATCCGTAAGATAAAATCACTTCCATTATTTGTTCGTTGCATCGATGCATATTGCTCCTCTGAGAATACATTGTATGCTCTAGCACCTGCAAGTGTATCTCATTCCACGAGTGTTATTATAGGAACCTTAAATGTTTAGTGACTTTTATTAGTGCATTCTCTGGATAAAACCACCTACTTGCTGTCACTTTATGTTAACACCGTCCCTAGCAACTTTAATTAATTTGAATAATATCTAGCATCAACAGTATATCACTGTGTCACATGACATACGCATTTTGATAGATCTGATTGACATATTTCGGCAATTACTGCTTTGTTGTTCCATGCCCTCTGTTTTCGTTTTAATTTCTCAAGTTGTAGATAATTAACATTAAATCGATCTGGCACACGAAATGACCTTAATTACACCGTTCGTAGATCAACAGGCTGACCAGTTAAGAAATATTAAATGTTCCCGGCTGATGCATTGGATCGTTGTAGTACTTAAACAATTACTGAACTAGTAACCTTAAAACTCCTATCACATGTTTGTTCTGTACATATAATGATATTATTTATACCAACTTGATCATGCCTGTAAACTGGCTTGAATTCTGTAATTATTATTTTTTTCAGAATATAGTTATTATTATTCATTGATCATTGGGCAATATCACCGAAGTGAATAAGGTTTAAAAATGAAACATTGGATTATGACGCGATGGTTTAAATGATGTTGTGTTGACATCCCTTTACCTACGAAATGTGAATACCTTAAGTTTCATTCTATATGTGACCTCCAGAATAGTGTACAATGTTGAGGAGTCTCAAACTGGAATGAAAGGGCTGTCAAGTCATTTCACATTTTTATAGTATTTTTACAGCTGATGGGAGTAGCCTCAAAGAAACACTTCAGTTATAAAAAAAGATATAGTTTTCCTCTATATTTATGGATATTGGTTTTTACGACAAAATCAATGATTTCTGTAAACATACGATGATATACGTCTAAGATAAGTGGAAAATTTTACAGATATATCCATCTCTTATTTTATGTAAAGATGCTAATAATTTAGTTTATTTTCACTTAACATATTAAATCATTAATTAATGACTTCAACTAACTAATAATATAAGTATAAACATTTTCAATACCATTCTATGTAATGTCAATCTAAATATTGTAGTCCTTATATATCTTGGTTTTAGGTTACTTTTTCCGTTCATTAGAGCCAATTTTTAAAAAATATTTATATCAGTTCTAAGTATATGCAGTGTAAAATAATTCATTTTTAATGTCGACCAATCGATTATTTCCGTATGAAACTCTTATATCATCAAATGTTTTAGTAAAACTAAAATAATTCAACCGAAATATATTCTCGTAAATTATATCGAAGTATATCTTTAGTGAATTAATACATTTATAAACCATGCATAATTTAATACAGAATGGATAGAATGTGGCTAGCAGTAGGATACAAAACGTTCTTTTAATCCTGTTCGGGATTCGTCAGATTGATGTGGATCTATTATAAAGTTTATGTCTACTCCGAGATTCGAACCCAGTACTGTTCGTTTCAAGCGCCATGGGGTTATCAACGTATCTACTGAATCAATATAAACACTCACTTGTGAAACTGGTACCATTTTTAATTCAATTCGAAACAGTTTTAACTATCTCATTGTTCATATTTTTAGCTAAAAGTTGATGAATATTTGTTATTAATGGGATAATCCAGTTCAGTTCAAAATAAATTAGTACATAATTTAGCTATTGAGGGGCACTTTGAGTGAATGCATGCAACCATGATAAAACTGAAAGAATAGATTACATAGGAATGATCCTTGATTGCTTGGTGATCCTCATTCTATGTTAGTTGATAAGTAATTTATATTTACTCTAATAGGACCAAATGTTGTGCGGATATGTGGTAGTTTAAGTGACACCCATTTGATAAAATTTCATCATAGAGACCAATCGGTCACGTTTAAGATGGTGTCATTTAGACTTTGTACGTAATTCGAGAAGTGATGCTGGCTAGATTGCACCTTGTAAAGAGTAACGTAAGGCTCTCACTATATAAAACATCTACTAAACCCCATACAACGTATAGAAAAACGCTACTTTTGCTATAAGACATTGAAAATGTTATAAAGATGTTTACTAAACTTTCAAATTCCCTCAAAAGAAACACGTTTTCGAAGTCAACTTTCAACTTACCCGGGTTATTACTGACTCAAAAAAGACGTACTTTTTGTACAATGCAAACGCTTGGAAAGAAAAGCTACAATTGACATTTTACTACATTCTTAGCAGCATATTCGTAATTGTAATAGACTTTTTAAAGTATTAGCTGATAGGTTTTATGAAAGTATCACGAATGTTTATTTTCTGTCACCGATGTAATGAATGCTCGTCATGTATTCATATAATTCAACTAAATCTCTAATGATCCTGTGTTATGAAAGTGGTTCATTTAAAATTTTCGGATATATCTAATTGGAAAATCACCAAGCCAATAATTCCATTTATTTTAAAATTCCATCAACTTCCTGAATCTTCATAGCATGTAGGCTTTACCATTTAGTTGTTCATTACTGTACTCGAACATCGTACTTTAAAAGGGGAACAAAATTATATTTGTCTCTAACATATAAAATTATATTTTTATCTGAAGATCGGATTATTTCATATGTACCAAGATTTCACTCTCAACATCAAACAAAATCATCACTATTTAAATTAGTAGTACTTAACCAAAGAAATAAATTATGTAGAACTTACTTGTAACAATATAAATAATATCGGTTTCACTATTATCTTGAATTGAATTAGCCCAATGTACTTTGAAATCAATTGGTGTTTCTGTAGATATTATTGTTTCATTACTTAAATCATTCATTGTAAATATTTTCAATGCTTTACCAGGTTGTTTTAGTAGAGTAATGCGTTCATTTGTTGTTGTGGTTGTTTGATTTTCTACGGCATTTATCATATTTAAAGCCCATACACTTGTACCAACTAATGGATGTAATGTAGCAAATTGTGAATAATAATCAGGTAGTGACTTTGATGGACATGCCTGATCAAAATTAATTTTTAAGAGAGAAAAAATTAGTAAAAAATGCATTCTTTTATCATACCTTAGTACGATTGGTAAAAACATTCTAATGTACAGTTAATTATTAAACTTGTTTCTAATTTTTTTTATATTCCCGTTGTTGATGTCAATAGCTGCAATAAGTTGGTTGTTATTAACATCAGCGAATACCGAGCTAATTGCCTTGATTTTGGTCATGAGTTTTTCTATGAAGGTGGACAGTCCACAATAATAGAATCTACGAAGTGGACTCCGTTTCGTTTGAGATATTTTACCTGGATATTCCTTCATCCCATTTTTGGTGTTCATATCTCAACATGAACCCAGTATCTGACACTTCAAACATTGTTTATTTACAAGATTTTATTATTAATAAAATTCTTACTCGTCACACAAGCTAGTAGATATCTGATCTAAATAGTTCGGAGGATAGTGCGTTATAATATTAAGCAAAAGATACAGGATTGGGGTATCAGTGAAAGTACTGGCAATAAGACGCAAGTGATTCAGTTGATGGGTTTCAAATAAAACGAAACGTGATTAGGGAATTCTAACGATAATCACTATCCAACTTTAATTAATTAATTAATTACTCCTGTTACTCCCAATGGAACATAGGCCGCCTACCAGCATTCTCAAACCCACTCTGTCCCACTCTGCCTTCCTTTCCGGTTCTATTCAATTTTTGTTCATTTTTCTCACGTCTATCTCCATTTTCCGGCGTAATGTGTGTTCTTCGGTCTTCCTCTCCTCCTTCAACCTTGAGGATTCCGTGTGAGGGCTTGTCTTGTGACGCAGTTCGATGCTTTACTCAATGTGTGTCCTATCCACTTCCAACGCTCCTTCCTGATTTCTTCCTCCGCTGGCATCTGGTTTATTCTATCCCAGAGTAGGTTGTTGTTAGTAGTGTCTGGCCAACGGACCTGAAGTATTTTGCGTAGACAACTGTTAATGAACACCTGTATCTCCTGGATGATGGATTTCGTAGTTTTCTAGTTTTCGGCCCCACACAGTAGAACTGTCTTGACATTTGTATTGAAAATTCAGACCTTGGTGTTGGTTGCCAATCGTTTTGAGTTCCAGATGTTCTTCAGTTGTAAATATGCTACTCTTGCTTTTCCGATCCGCGCCTTCATATGTGCATCAAATCCACCGTGTTCATCAATGATGCTGCCCAAATATGTAAAGGTTTTTACATCTTTCAAATCTTCTCCGTTAATTGTGATTGGATTCGTGCATGTTGTGTTGATTCGGAGAATCTTGCTTTTCCCTTTGTGTATATTGAGACCTACTGCTGCTGAGGCTGCTGCTACACTGGTCGTCTTCTCTTGCATTTGTTGTTGCATGTGCGATAGAAGAATCCAACTTTACTAATGATTAAATTATCTAGTATAATGTTTTTGAGGTAAACTAAATTTTAATCATAAATAAAGTTGAAGAAAAACAAATAAACAGATGACTTCCGATTACCGAGTTGTGAAGGAGTAATTTTTCAGTGATATTAGTGACTGAATCTACTAATATAAATAGTCAGGAGAGCTCAATAGAGAAATTAACCAATTGTTTCCTTTTCTTTAAATTAACACAATCTCAAAGTGAGGTGAGGCATTTAGATTGTATATTTAGTGTGGTATGATTTTAAAAATCGTCTTTCAACAAAACAAAGCACGTAGTGAGCAAAACGATGTAAAAGTTAGGTATTATTACATTGTATTCTAGAAAGAGTTAGAACTGTAACCTGAATTTCTATGATCTAACTATTGTTAATACAAACGTATTTATCGTTTGAACTTGATATCACTTTTTTACAGGTTAGATTTTATATATTTTTCAGCTAACACTATTTTGAACGATTTATTTGCTGATTGATGTACATAAGTATATTTGAAATATATAGAAGAGAAATATTCTGTTTTTTAAAAACTACAATAATTTTATGGCAACTTTTGCAGCCGATATAACTTCTTTTCTATTGTAGTTAGCCAGTATGTGGATAAGATTGAACTGGAGGTATTTGATTTTATCTTGAAACTCCTAAGAAAAATACATAAACCTTGAAGAGAAAATAACTTTCAGATAGATTGCCACTGATGAATTTTAATCACATTCTGTGGATGCTGTTTAGTTAATCAAATAAATTACTCTCAAATAAGTAACATTCATTATTAAGAAGCTGTTGGCTACTATTCTTCACAATGTTTTGAAGAAGAACACAAATATAATTCGCAAATCAAGTAGTGATTCTTGTTCTTATGTTCTAAAAATAGAAACTATCAAGAACTCTTATTAATTATTGGATAAATTTTAAGACAAGGTATCGTGAGTTAAAGTTTATAGTTTTCCATAAGTTGGTCAGTCAATGTTAACAAAAAACTTGATTTACCCTTCCTCATCAATACTAACGAATAACGATGAATAATTGTAAACTGATATATAGGTAGCCGACATAAAGTTTTAGAACAAGATTTCAAAGAAATATACACTCTTCTTAATTTGAACAGAGATTATTCCACTAGGCATCTATATTAATTTTCTGTTGAATATTTGCATTCCAGACTAATATAATTGATATCGATTTTCAACATGAACCGGGTATATAATAACACACAGTATAACTCAGTTTTACTAATTACTAATAATCATTTTTTATATATCTTGTATTCTACTCATTAATCTGTATATTGCTAAGAATAGTTATAAGTAGGTTAATTTAATCTGTTTAGCTATTTATCTGATAAACAATTTGATGGCGTTAACATCATCATTATGTCTTATTATTAAACACAAGATTATGATAAAATTTAATTTTATTATAACTCACTTTAGAAGTTCTTATTATTTCTTGTGTCATTTTTGACGGTGAAACAACATCTACAGTCCATTTCGATGTATATTTATAATAATTGTAATGGGTTGATGATGAATTTGTTTCAGTATTATTATTATTACCTCTCCATACCATACGAGATAAACCATTGTATGCTTTATTTGATTGTTTAAATTTGATTAAATGATCAGTGTTTAAATTTTGATCTACACTATTCAAGTTGAATGCACATAATGCGTATAGACCAGAGATCGAATCAATCGTGGTCATAAGAGCGTAGAAAACATGGTCAGTCATATCAACTTTTATTATGTTTCAATGAGAAGAAAAAACGGGTGAGAAAGAATAAAATAACATTTAATTAAAATAATTATTTGTCATTAAGTGATCGATTGGTTGACAAGAAAACAAACGTTTTTTTATAGAGGGTTTGCATAGGTTGTTAAATTCCATAGGTTAGACCTTAGATCGGTCATAGTTAGACAACCAGTGAAAACCTGGAAGTACTGGACAGCTGTTTCGTCTTGGTATGGGAATCTTCAGTAGTCTAAAAACACTTAACAAACATAAGCATGAACTGACTAGCGACTAACTTCAAGATGCAATTCCAGGAGTTTTAATGAGAAGCTATGATCAGTCGAGTTCAACCATGACTTGTACGAGAAAGTTATCCACTAATCAAACTGACAAATACTCGTGGTCTTTCACGAGTTAAGTGAAGTTAGGCATGTAACTGATTGGTCGGCTCCTCAGTGGTTTACATGTTAAACGCCCATAAAAAGAATTGAAGGTGGTGGGTTAAATCACCAGCAAAATCATGGATCGGCACTGTTAAGAAATCTTATACTATAGTATAACGGTTTTAACTGTTTTCTGATTCTTAATCACTGTCATTCTAGAGTCAGTACATCATGAAAACTATGAAATAGAGAATTTATTTTTTAATGAACATTTCAGAATAGTATTTAAAGTTTTTGTCAGTTACCAGGCGATAGAAAAATCGTGATCTGACAAAATATTTATCTATCCATGTTAGCCCACTTTAGTTCTACGTAATAAGAAAAGAAATTAATAAGTTGAACAGGATTATTAGGGAAAAAATGCCAACTATAACAGAAAGTTAAACATCAGAAGTACAGTTCAACAAAGTTATAGAATAGAAATTTATTAATCTCTATAGCTAAATGATTATTGAAACTAGATAACTGAAAGATGCTTAATTTTATTTTAGCGCTTATTGTTTAATTAGAATACAAGAAAATTAAAAATGATCATTCGTCTATTACAGTATTGCTACGAAGACGGAGAAAATTAATCCAATTTCATTGATTCTAAAATTAGCTATCTCATTTGTTTATTTTTCAGCTGATTTCTTGTTAAATTATTTTATTACATTGTTTTAAGTTTTATGCGATTCCTGTTGGTCTTTAAACATTGAACATTTTGGTAACACATGAATGTCCCCCTTAGTTGAGTACGAGAACCAAGTTTCTCACTTAATTTGGTTGTTTTTCTATAAATTTGGATACTTTTTATTATGTGCAGTGAGAAAAATAATTTTTAATTGGTAAATCGGAAGCATTTAAATGATTCTATTAATGCAAATTCTGTTTTACTTATTTATTTATTTGAACACATAAATATTGGTACAAGGGAGCACCAAATATATATACTCCACACAAAACAATGAGAATGGGGAGAAAAAAAGAAGGTAAGGAGCGTAAAAGTAAAAAAGGAGAAGAGGAACAATAACGACCAGATTAGTGTAAGGAAGTGTAATGATAGTAATAATAATAATAATAATAATAATAATAATAATAATAATAATGGCGGAAACGGAAAGGTACAACCAGAAGAAATCTTTCATTTAAGGAAGATACAACCACCTTTTATGAAGAAAGTAAAAGAAGTTTACAGCATGATCGCCACTGGCTTCTATTCTTAGCCATAGCTGACAACTTCTCTAGCCACTGTGTCGCACCATCTCTCGGACCCCATGCAAATTCTGTTAATAAATAGCCAGTAAGGATCAACTTACCACCGGAATGAACCCCAAACTTATTCAAAGTTTAAATGAATTATACAATTTGGATATCTCTTTATAATTTTTAGATTGTTTTAGGATATAGAAATACTTTGTTAAAAGTTTTCCATTTTTTTCGAAATAAATGATATTGAAATACTTCCATAAGTATACATTGTTTTACTAACCACATTTGATATTGATGCTATCAATTGAGAACACATTTTCGAGATGCTATCTTGAATATATATATATATATATATATATATATATATATATATATATGAACTAGTTATGTATTTTCTACTTTGCAATTAAGCTTATCATTATTTTCTCTCCCAAATCATAGTGATTCTGGGCGTTCAATAATTTTTTTTAAAATTTACATTCATTTAAAACTTATCAAACACAATAAAATTTATTATCCAAACGACGGTTATCTTAGCAACAAGTGAAGCAAATGTTTTATCATCTCAAAACTCCTTTTATTATTTATTTAAATTGAGGAAATGTTTCTCCTACAAATTGGCAACAGAAGCTTTAAAAATTGACGAGATACTACAAGCTTTCATTCTGGATCAAAATGTTTGAAACTATAAAAACCCTCTAACCTTCATAATATGTTTAAACTATAGTCTTTAGTTTACATATCAATGTGAATGAGGAAAGTAACTGAAAATTACTTAACATCTAATCAAATATTATTTGCAGCTACTGAATTATATCAGAAAACGTTTTGTGGATATTATAGTGATTTTAATAGCTGAGATCTTGGGACAATTGAAGCTAGACCACCGTGGAAAACCTGGAAGCACGGCCGTTTCGATCTATTGTGGGACTCCTCAGCAGCGCTCATTCACTATCCTGCTCGCGGGATTGTGTACTGTAGAATTCTGTCTTATTTTTAATTATAATCTCTTGAACATTACTTCTCCAATAAGTTTTTTCGCCTTTAATTATTTAAAAATAATCAACTTAATGTTTGTTTTAATCTGTTGTTGTGATTTTCTAGGAGAAAATAACTGAAAGAAATTACTGCCAAATGTGAATAGAGATATATATGATGTGACATTTTTAAAACCGTCTTAAAATTCAACCATGAAATTGCGTAAACCCTGAAGTCAGAGAATCTATTTGACCATTCTGACTAAAGGTGAAAATTTTATTTAACTATTATTTCTTTTAGAAGTTAGATCTAACATGCATGTGTGTAGTTTTACTTTCCTAAAATTTACGCGAACAGAAGGAGAAAGAGATAGAGAAACTTAGCAAGGTCAAATTCAAATGATAAAAAATGTTATCAACTGTAACACGAATGTAAGGGTAAAAAATTCAGTACGAAAGTAGGAGAAGTGAGATCGAATTGTAGAATATGAAGAATGACAGTCAGTTTAAAAGATGAAGAATGAATACAACTTCGCTGCCATAACCAATCTGGGTTACCCCAGTCAATTTCCACAACTATTAAGTAATATGAAGTCTGCAACCATGGTGTTTGCATTGTTCACTCTGTGTTTTATTTTAACAAATGAATAAAGTAAAGAGATGATCAGTAAACATAAAAATATCAACAACTAAATACCCATTAGCAACTGCGAATCATGAAACTGAAAAAGAATCAATTGATATTTAGGTTTGTCCAAAGTTTCTCAAAATTACTGAAATATCAAAGGTGATTCCTAAATTTTAATTCAATGGACTTGGAGAGATTGAAGGTGTTTTCCAGCGGGCTATGTAGATACATTAACAAACTGAATGACTGACTAAAAGTTTCTAAATGAAAAATTCTGAACCGAAGATAATATGAAGATCACAAGGTAACCAGAGATTGTTTGCTTCGATCCGCGGACATATCCATGAGTTAGGTACATCACGTAATTTTGCCTTGACGCTCAATGTCAATCACTATATTTTGGGTTTTACATACAAAATATTGTTCAAAATATAAAAATGCTACAAAACGTGTGAAACTCTCTTCAAAAAACTTCTAAGGTTACTGGTTTCCATGTGTAAGTTCGATAAACCATAAACCGTTTGCTCGAATCCAAACAAACCTTGCTTTTTAGTCTTCCATTCATACCTAATTTTGTCTAGTTCATTTTATAGCTAACGTATAATACACTTTACAATCTTACGAATTGGATTGTCAAACGTCGTGAGTAAAAATATTGCAAATTTTACACGGTTTGATATTTCTGATCAAGAATAATATTATTATTAATGCCAATATTTATTACGATTCTAGTAGTAATCCTATATTCACTGATGTAAGTTGACAAAAGTAACATTCGTTTTCGGTGTTTGAAAGTAGTTTGAAAGAAACACGACATACCGTACTTTTCGTGATGGATGGAACTTTCTCGAAAGGCGTATCTGCAATCTTGAGGGAACTGATGCTCCACTTCAAGAGGCTTTAAAGTCAGAGGCAATATTCATAGGCGACTTACATTTCACTGGGCTAAGGTATTAACAAAAGACCGATTAACAAGTGACATCTATTGTCATAGTTATCTAGTTCTTTTATTCTGATAGAATTTATCGGTCAAGCTGCTATTTAAGTAATTTAACATCTCTTGCACTATTATTAGATGTCATATGACTGAAGAGTGTAAGCTACTAAAAAAATGAGCCCATGGTTTACTACCAACTAATAATAACCAGCAAACATCTCATCATAACATCGAGTCACTTAGACAAGTAATCGCATTCTAACTTAATAGGCAGAATTTGGTTAGAAACAAAGAACTAGATAAATATAGCATTGATCACCACTCTGTTGTAGACAAGTTTTATTCACAAGTACAGATTAAAAATAAAGATATGGAAAACATCTAGGATGCTGATAACTGATTACTATCTACTTACCTGTTGGAACAATCTCACTAACAGCAATCGCTCGATTGAATTCTAAATAACTTTTTTCATTTGTTATTTTCTGTTCATTGAAATATCTATCCTTAGTATTTTCTTGTCCATTAAAATTATCATAAGTCTGATGATGATTTGTTTCTTGTAGATGAACAGAATCAGATGAATATCCACGACAAACAAGTTGAGTTTTTCGAAAAGTTGTAAATACTCCACCACCATTTGGTAAAATTGATGCTGATAATTTTGAACCTGGATCATGTTGACATACTCGACCAATTCGTGTTATTGTACTTGCAATATTAGAAAGCTGTATCAATTAAATAAAATTAGTAAACGACACCAAGAATATTCAAAAATATTATTTTCAGAAAATATTATTATTAATAATAATTGAATTGTACATTATCTTGTATAATGGTCAATCGTAAAGCTGATTGTTACTTATGAACAACTAAAGTTGTGTACACATAGTTTGAAAAATTAATATTGTTTATTAGAAAATTAGTTGCATTTTGTCATCATAAACACTATGTGTATGATCCATCAATAGGACAGTGGTTTGATAGTCTACGCCCTTAACTTCAAGTACTGATAGGATATACTAACTTCCTTCCTTCTATTTTAGTTCAGAAACCTGGATTATAAATCTAATACAAATGTTGCACTAAAATAATAAGGAATGAGTTTAGAGCACTAAAATTTAAGATATATATATATATATATATCAAAAGGTGTTTTGGAATAAAAAAATATTTGAAATGATACAACTGTACTATAATCGGAAATGTCAGATATTATGTCATCTATACATTCTCGACTGTTTATCATGCAATTTAATTTTGTTCGTTAAGTGATACATTTTTGCTTGAAGAATTAGATTATTATCGTTCAGTTAAATTTCATTATGTCGCATAATTTATACTTTAGTGTCGTTGCAAGTTAATACGAAGTATTAAACAAAGTACAAAGTCAATATTCGATGACTGTTGGTTAATTACAGTTATAAACCGGATATCAATAACACGGAACGTCAAACATTCATTATGATTTTTTTATACACACTCTACATAATATCTACCATTTGGCAAAACATTTAATCATGTTATCTTTTTATACAAATGTCAGTTTTATTTCAATCAAACCGAATAATGAGTTCTGTCCATTGATAAGAGCTTATCTGAAATTTCAGTATTTATCAAGAACAACTAAGTACTGTATATATCTTAGTATTGCGTGGATTTTCCTATTTTATTGTCAAATGTCATTTGATAATGATCAACGCTTTGTGTCTATGAATGAACCATTAATAAAATCCACATTGTAATTGATAATTCATTTCAAACCTTGATGAGGATTTTCTAATCCTTCTCTCATTACTACAAGACATGTTATCAATTAAAAATTAGAAATAAATAAACACATAAAAAGTTAAACAAATGACATCATAAAAGATAAAATAAAATGGTGATAGGTAAGTATAAAATAATTCCTTTTATAGTATTTATCATATGAAATCAGTTAACTTTATAACTTTAAACAAAACGAAAATGGCCGATGGTTAAGAATAACCAGTCAGTCATTATCAACGTAAAAATCAACATAAATTTGGTCAAGCCCAAGATATCATGTCAGGTCAACAACGATGAGATGTAATTAATAAGATGAACGGTGAAAAAACTGAAATAGTAGTATTATCAATAATGGTAAGAAGGACTAAATATTGAGAATATGGTTTGAGAATGCGAAATGAAAAGTTACGTATAGAGATAAACTGGAACTCAGGATCTGGAGAAAGAAAAATATTGAACATATCTACGTCACTGTTATCAATTCTAAGCCGTGATACACAATCACTATGTTTATTTTCTGGACCTAAGCTAGATAACTATAACCGTCAATAGTTATGATTAAAATAACTATAAGGATACTATTAATAATAGTAGTACTATTATTTAGTACATGATGAAACAATTATATTGTGTTACCAAAAAATTGATATTCCATTTCTGATTTAAGCTTTTCATATGATGGCCATATCAACGGTTTTTATTTTAACTGATAAATTAAAATGAGAAGCGGTTTGTTTAAAAATGAAGATAATTTTTAACAGATACATACAATATCACTATTTTTATGTTGATTTGAAACTAGTATTTTTTTTAAAATTAAGGTTGATTTTCCTAATATTTTATTGGGTTATTTTTTAATAAATGCAAAAATATACTAAGATATTGTTTGACAGATTTGGAATAAGTTGGCAATGAAAATATATTGATAGTTTAAGTCTGTTTTAAACTATCGTTTTTCATTACTGTTTTTGTTCAAAATATAGTTATATCTAAATCATAAATCTGATCTTTTCCTTCAAACTACTTAATAAACTATCCTTTACATCCAATCACGTGATTCAATATGCAGTAATTTCTCATTATGACATACGTAATTCATTGGCACTGGTGAAACAAACTTATTCTAAATCATCTCTTCATATGAATTACTTTGCCTGTAAATTTTCTAGACTCTGGAATAACCTACCACAATCTATCCGTAAGATAAAATCACTTCCATTATTTGTTCGTTGCATCGATGCATATTGCTCCCCTGAGAATACATTGTATGCTCTAGCACCTGCAAGTGTATCTCATTCCACGAGTGTTATTATAGGAACCTTAAATGTTTAGTGACTTTTATTAGTGCATTCTCTGGATAAAACCACCTACTTGCTGTCACTTTATGTTAACACCGTCCCTAGCAACTTTAATTAATTTGAATAATATCTAGCATCAACAGTATATCACTGTGTCACATGACATACGCATTTTGATAGATCTGATTGACATATTTCGGCAATTACTGCTTTGTTGTTCCATGCCCTCTGTTTTCGTTTTAATTTCTCAAGTTGTAGATAATTAACATTAAATCGATCTGGCACACGAAATGACCTTAATTACACCGTTCGTAGATCAACAGGCTGACCAGTTAAGAAATATTAAATGTTCCCGGCTGATGCATTGGATCGCTGTAAAACATGTACTATCCTATATCACATGTTTGTTTTCTACATCTAATGTTACGATTTATATCAAATTGATCCTGCCTGTAAACTGGCTTGACTTCTGCAAGTATTATTTTCAGAATATATAAATTATTATTATTATATAAAAGCGAAGCATACATTTTGTTTCACCTAAGAATAACAATGTTGATCTTTTTATTGGAGTTATTATTGAGTTATTGGATGGTCATTTTATTCGACATTAAAACGATTCGAATTTATATGAATAGAATACATTTTTTTATCTATCCTACAGTAAACAAAAGCATTAAACATTTATCACAGCTAGGAATGATTTTTACTTCACTCCACATTATATGGTAACACGTAGTATCTGATCGTTTGAACTAATTAAAATAATTGATGCTTTTTAAAACTGGGTCATTTCTCTTATGTTATTCATAAATATACATCTAGAAATATCTTTTTTGTCCTTTTCTCATGATTTTTTGTATTACGAATGTACCGGTTTTTATTTGTGAGGACTCTTTCAATATATAATCCATTAAGCATTTCATCCAGAAAAATACAATATTTTCAGGTGTTTCTCTCTTCTCGATGTGGAAAATGTTATAAAACTGATTTACTTCAATATTTTTGTCATAAATTGGAACATATTAATTCTACTTGTTGACTACTGTACTCTCTTTGCTGCTTTCATAAACCTAAATGGGTGGTTGAGTAACCAAATAGTAAAGCAAACTAAACAGTGTATTCACTTTATGCTAGTTTTGCTGACTATCTAAAAAACATGTTCTACTCAGTAATCCACTCCACAGTAATTGATGGATAAACAATATGGATACTTAAAGTATATTTCATACTCACATATATTCACATTTTTTTAAGTCATTACATATACAACTACAGAGAGAACAGATCTTAATTTACAAACGTAATGTTAGGTGTAGGACATTTTTAAGTTGATGGAGTTGTTCTACCTGACACAATGTCACCTTATTCAATATTTCCTACTGTCTGGTGTAGAAATATATTCATAAATAGATAAGATAACATATGACATCTGAAATCTTTATTCTGATTTGTGCCTGAGGCATTTAATTTGACTGAAAAGAGTCCATAAAATAAGCAAAACAAATAGTTGATGCTATAAGTGATATAGGTCAAAACAAATTAGAATCATTTTTAAATGTTTAAATTCTATCATTATTATTCTTTTTTTACTTATTCCTACATTGAAAGCATTTTATTTAAAAGGATGTACTGAATAAATGGTCATAAAAAAAGTTGATATGTTACTTAATTTCATGATCAGATGGATAACAACAACAAAAAGAAAAATTACCAGTATCTTCAATTGATACTTATTGATATTAATCAATATGGTGTAGTTGCAATCATCAGGTTATTGATACTCTTCTAAAATATTCAAATCATGCCACTTTGGATTGTATTAAGAATTTATTATAATCGATCGATGCAAACCATAACTTGGGTAGAATTATCATCGTCAAGTTCTGATTAACTAACTAACCAGTGTTCATCAGCAATCGTTGTGTAAAACGGTACATTTTGTTTCAGAAACGGGCAAAAGAATTTTTAAAAGTGTCTTTATTGAATTAATTATCTGATAACAGATAACATCATCGAGACTACTGCTACAGATATATTTAAAACGTACACTATCAATGAAAGCAAAAAAATAAAATTAAAAGTTTTTGTCAACTATTCTCATCTAAAATTCAATAACTAAAAAGCATGTGGTGGTTGGTATTCAATATAATACTTAACTTTGTATACAGTTCGTCCTGATAACCGTCACTAGATAATGCCCAAACGGTGTATTAATCAGAAGGCGAATACGATGCGTTGATTACGTTTATTATTGCACCACACATCGATATCCAAATTTACAGGTACACTAAGCAAGCATGAAATAATAGTATCGAAAAGCAAACAGGCAAGCGAGTAGAATGAGCGAGTCGAGTCAATGAATAAGATTAAAATGAACATATATATACATAATGAAATGAATGAATTATCGAATCAATTAAGCGACTAACAGTAAATCTAGCAGAATAAATATATGCGTAGGCAGTAAGCAATTCTTAAGCGTAGATATTCATACAAGTGTAAGAATAAGAAAGATACAATGATATAGATAATTTGTTACTGTACGGATAACTCTGTCCATTAAATAAGTTAACAAAAGGGCTTAACTAAATTGTTATGAGCTGCTATAGACGTTCAAAAATAAAAACGTTTAAAATTATTGAATCATTTAAAAATGT